GAGCAGCGGCACGCGGCGGGTCGCATTTTTTTTATGGGTATTAGTTGAGAATGCGGCGTCCCACGGACGTGAAATTTTGGCTGGGGTCGTATTTTGTGTCACTAAAGCGATACCAGTAATTTAATTCATTTTGAGTTTTGGCCGGAGTTGTCCTTTAACGGGGGACTGCAGTACGCGACGGCGTACTAACACAACGGCGACGATATCGACATCGCGGGCTCCGAATTTTCCCATAGTTCTACTCCACGGGCATTTCTCGAAACGCTTGATATTGTGTACGCCCCCCTGGAAGGATTTCAGGCGCGTAGTTAAGATAAGGCGGTTCTCCGCGGCAAAAGAAAGCAATTTCACAAAAGCAAGCGGCGGCGACGCGTGTGCGGTGAACGCTTGTAGTTTTGGTGTAGACAGGGTGTGTGTGTTCTCGTTGTTGACACCAGCCGGCGATAAGGCACTGCAGGCGGTAGCTCAGTACAGCAAAGGCTAATCCGAGTGACCATCAACGTAACCCCACCGCCAACCCCTCGCGAACCGGTCGCCGACATGGCTCAGGCTGTGTCATGAACCACGTGGTAGAAGCTCGGGTGCTTTCATATCAGCGCGTGGAGGGACGACAGTGCGATTCCGGAAAGTCTTTTTCGAAGGCCGCTGACCACAATTTTTTGTCTGGAGACTTTCCCTCTTTCTTCCTTTGACGTGGATCAAGCTTTGCCGACAGCCTCAGTTGTGACCTCTCTTTTCAAATGTACGCTTGCAGTGAGTGAGCTCCTCAGCCTCGGACTTGTCACTTGTGCACCCAGTAGTTCTTTCACTTGGCAATTATATGCCATCAGTTGGGGTTTAATTTCTATTATTTATGTATACATTATGAAGACGTCCTGGAGCTCCGAACGAGTGTTTTGTGCAGATTACTTTTGCAAACACAAAAAGACTATACCAAAGCAGCGGAATTTTCGAAGTGTTGGCGAGTTGGACCTAAACTCGTTGAAGCAAATTCTTCCGCCTGACTGTTCCACCAAAGTGAGTGCGACGGACTACCTGTGCTACCATTGCTTCATGCACCTCACTAAGGAGATCTCGATGCGAAGCTCAGAGCAGTGCCCTGACATATTTGTGCCAGCTGAAGAAGCAATTGAAGATCTAAATCGCAGCATACTACCTACAGATGTGTCGCCGCTGAGACAACCAAGCGTCGTAAGAAGTCGGGACAGGCCTGCCTATGTCAAGAGAAAGCAGACAGAACTGGAGCAGGTTGCTGTCAAGAACATACGCTCAAGGCTACGTATTGCGTACGACAGGGACGCACCATCGGGGTCGTCCGAACCAACATGCTCCACATGCACTGAGTGGGTGGACAACTTTCGACAGGCCTTTGAAACCGTCACCTCTCTCCGGGAACGTTGTCAACTGCTTACACTCCTGCCGTCAACACTGACGAAGAATGAGGTTCAAAAGATGATTCCACAGGCCTCAATGTACCTCATCAGTAAATCCCGAAAACTCAAGGAAAAGCATGGCGTGTGGTATGAGCCGGATCCTTACACGAGGTGCAAGGTGAGCCCTGAGAACCTGTCTGCTGCCCTAGAGTACTTCACGAAAGACAAGCTACAATGTTCGCGCCAAAGTCCCAACCAGAAGGACGTCATCTCTGTCATGCTCAACGGAGAGAAAACGTTCGTGCCAAAGCGCTTCATGACACGCTCAATACGAGAGGCCTTCCGTATATACAAAGACAAGCATCCCGATTCCGGCGTTGGGCTAACGAAATTTTATTCGTTGCGCCCTAGATGGGTCCAATGTATTCCACACCAGGAAGTGTGCGTTTGTGTGCGCTGCGCCAATTATTATCTTTGTATTGCCGCTCTAGAGAACGTTACAGGCTCAACATTCAACACTGGTGAAATGAACTCGGCATTTCTGTGCGACCCAGCAACAGAACTGTGCCTTCAAGGAGACTGTGATCACTGCCCAAAAGGCCAGTTTCTTACACTCCAGGAACTTGATATCCCGGAGGATGAAGAGATTGTGCTTGCAACATGGGAGTCCGGCAACCTTGTGAAAAAAACTTTGGAACCTGAGACTTTCCTAAAAGTCATCCAAGTGACGGTTGGAAGTTGGGTACTTCACAACCATATCCGGCAAACGCAAGGTAAAGCGATCTACGATGAAAAACAGTGCATGCAACGCGAGAGCATTGTCTTTCATTTTGACTTTGCTGAAAACTGGACCATCGTGCTTCCTGACGAAGTGCAAGCATATCACTGGAAAAAAAAAACAAGTTTCGATATTTACATGTGTAGTGACGACAAGAAAATCTACAAACAGCTTTGCCATCATCAGTGAGGACCTGTGTCACGACGCCGCTCACGCTTGCTTGGCTCTAGAAAAAGTGAAGGAGTGGGTTGAAGACAATGTTGCGGTATACTCGTACGTGACGTACGCAAGTTACGGCGCCGCCAGTCATTTCAAGAATCGCTACCAGCTTCACCAATTTGCAAAGGACGATTGCCCACAAGCCCAGTGGTTATTTTCTGCATCTGGACATGGGAAAAATGCATGTGATGGAGTTGGCGGACTCGTGAAGCACCAGGCCACGCTAAACGACCTGAGAGAACGTTCAGTAAGCGCAATTCAGACGGCCAGGACAATGGTGAGCGTTCTATCAAAGAAACTGAAAGGCGTGCATCTTGTATATCTGGACGAAAATGAGGTTGTTCGGTATCGTGAACAAAAAAAAGAAGAGTGGCTGACGGTGCGCGCCTTCCCTGGCATTCAGTCTTGGCACGCGTGGCGGCTCAGCAAGTCATCAACAGAAGGGACCTGTGACGTATATGTAGCACGGACAGTCGGATCTGCTTGGAAGCAACTTTATTAAATGGGTACAGCGAGGAAAACCTTAGAGTAAAGTGCCGAATTTGATTTCCCAAGGACTGCTCATTTTGAATGCAGGGACATCTTATTTATCACATTTTTCTTCACGGGGTATTTAACCAACTGTTTTTGTTGGTGGTTACTAATAATTTTTATCTGATCACTATAAAAAAAATCCCAAAATGTTATCCTCGAGCAGGATAAAATATATTGGCTTGCCACGATTCATTCATACACCGAGAGCATCGAAGCTGCTCCAGTTAGGCACTATGGCATCCGTCACCTGAAATTGTTTGTAATCGTAAATACACAGCCAACCTAAATATCTTACTATTATATCTTTGTTTTTGTGTGTGGAAGTAAAGTTATTTATTTTACTCTAGATGTAAAATATACCGGAAAGTACAACTTCACACTGCATCATCTTTTCTCAAATCATTAGTCTCTAATATGATACCACTTTGTACGCTTATGTAAAATGCTGTATATAGTTTCCCCTCCCTTTTACTGTGTGACCGATCGCTCTTTTTATCAATGACCTCATCTGAATAAATGTATATAAAAGATTTGTGCAAGTTTCATGAAACTGGAACTCAGAGTCACTTCTTGTATAGGACACTGCTAAGTGTAGGCTTTGAAAAAGGACCCTACTTTGGGGAGTTGTTTCTTCTTTCACAGTGCAATGATGCAACATGTTTTTAATAGAAATGAATGCCGAAATAGAGTATAACAGGGTACCCAAATTTTAAAAATATCGAAGGTGGAGTTTTTTTTTTATTCGCATTGGAATTTTTCTTTGTTTGATTTTTTTCCCATGTTTGCCTAAATATATTGTAACTATTGTGTCACTCAGATACCTTATTTATTTTTTCAATAATAGCCATATATTAGTAAAATAATGTCTGCAAGTTATGTAATAATGATTAAATTATTTCATGAGATACAGATTTCCAAAGTTTGCCATTTGTCGTTTGAGCAGGCATGTTTGGCAATTTTTAGAAAGCTAAATGAATTTTTAATAAATATTGTTACTTTATATTACAAGCAAGTTGTACCCATAGTTTGTTTGTAAAAAGTTTTAAAATTCTCCTAATTTTATTGTTTTAATTATTCACTTTCAAACTTGCCCCCTCCATCAGTGCGCGTTATTGCAACTGTCCACCTCTCCCTACCTTACGATTTTTCTTGTCTCCAAATTTTTTTTCTGGTCAAAACTAAGTGTGGATTCGTTTATACCAGACACTAGACAATGTCATATAAAAACATCAGTTGATTTAAAAATGTCGACCAGCCACCCTTTGGTCGATCTTATCTGAAATCACCCTGTAACCTTTTGGGACACAAATGATCTAGAACCAGTCGTCGGTACTCCTCAATATGAAATGAATATTTGCCAATATTTTAGGAAAACAGACGGGTGCGCCACGTCCAAACAGAGCGACACGCCTCTTTTCCTGAGATATCTGAGAAAAAGGAGCGTGTCACCATGCTCGGTTGCATTTGTCACAAAGGATAAAGGCCACAGACGACCATAATTTTTAGTATCTTAAGACACCTGGGGTGATCGGAGAAATCTGACTAACAACAGATACTTTATAAACATGGACGTTTTGGGAGTTTGGGAGGCAGCTTCCCTTCTTCACATTTTCCCAAACTCTACCGCTTATTGTGTATTCCCACAATGAACCTTGTCCCCGAGGGGATGACTAAAAGTCATTGAGCTTCGAGCTCACGTGTGTCGTATCACAGGTGTTCGCTAATCCCCCGAGTTTGCGGGCAGCCGAGGAGAATCCGCGACCGGCTCGTCCAGTCAAATCGACCGTGACCCTTCCCATGGGGAACGATTAGGTTGAACGGCAATGAGGCGTAGGGTCCCCGCAGACTCCATGGTGCGAATGCTCGTTTGCATTTTCTGCACCGCCTTCTCCTTTGAAGGTGAAGATATCTCGTGCGAACGCAAGATTAGGGTGCCATAAAAAGGCAAATTCGAAAACTGCTTTGGTGCTCCTTTAAAGCCCCCTCGCCCAAAAAAGAAGACGGAAAGCGGTATTTTTAAAAGAAAAACTGCCGGAGTCGTCCGCTCGCTTTCTAGCCGCCACCGGCGCGAGCGAGAGTATCCGGCAGAACCCCACCTTGGAGAAGTAGCCGACGACGTGGCAGCCCTCCGCATCTGCCTCCGTCATGACGTAGAAGAGGAAGGGCTCCACGTCGAAGTAGAGTGTCTTGTGGTCCAGGAACAGCTTGGCCAGCAGGCACAGGTTCTGGCAGTACGCCTGCGAAAGGGCGGCCGACAGGACTCGTCTTAAACAACAGTTGCAGCAGTGAGTTTTTGCTACGGTGCCTTCAAAGCGTCTCCGACAGACGCACTTGGCGTCCGCCCGTACATCCAGAGTGGTCCCGAACGCAAAATAGACGTGCCAGATTTCGAAGAATGTTGGCAACTATCGGGCATCGTATTGTTAACAAAGGGCAAAAGCCAGGAGGATAGAGATAGGAGCAGAGCCCGGCAAATCGTTGGCCGACGGTTGCGAGAACGAGAGCGACGGAAGAGGGGAAAAGGAAGGCGGATGAAACATTAGGTACTTTCGTTTCGGCATGATAAAGTTGTTGGAATGTTCGTCCACTCAAATTCTTTTTGGTGCTTCGTCACAAAATAAAGCCGAAAAGACTGAGCACCGACCTTGCAAGCGGTATTTTCCAGATTCCTCGCTTTTCTTAAACGAGCTGTGCAACAATCTCAGGGCTTTGCTTAAATTATTGTGGAAGTTGATGCCTGACACTTCTCAAGTGAACTACAAAAAACAGATTTTGCCTGGATACCCTAGTTTTTATTTAAATAAATGAAAAAGATCCAGGTTTTTGCCGCCTCTCAACTCGTACGTCGTCTTCCGGGTCACGTGCGCAGTGACGTCGATGGGGTAGGCACGAGGTTCCGGAAAAGTTCTCTCTTTAGAGCCATCAGTGAGCAGCGAGAACTCCTCCGTTCGCGACCGCGTGACCACGTGCTGGCGGGCGCCGCGCGAACAATATAGTGAAAGGAGGAAAGTCTCATCCGGGTCCGGCCATACCCGTCCGGCTCTCTCAAGGAGGTTAGGCTCTCTCCCCCTACGGCTTCTGGCGGCTGTTCACGATAGCAGATGGAGCTGATAGTTTTGTGGACCTAGGATAGATGGCGCCACTAATACTCCGTATAATAACAGTTTTGTCGATGATACGAGGTTTTTGATGCATTTATATATATGTTAGAACGACAAGATTTATAGAAAAGTTACCTTATATTGAGCAGGTATTCGCACAACTTGCTATCTTTCTACAAGATTCCCCAGTGACGTCACGCCGCGTGTTTCTCATGACCGCCGCTCGCGGCTGCAGGTCGGGGAATATTCTAAGTTTTGCCTCGCTATTACGCGGCGGAATCGCAACATTTCGATGAAAGGAGGTCTGTTTTCTGTCATTAGTGACAAGGTGAACAATATCAAAAGCAGAAGATGCCAATTCTTTCAACGTTAAAATCATTGCACAGCTCCTTTAAAGTCTTGACAGTAGTATAGGCCCGCTGGCGCCCTCGACGTCGGCCTCTACTCTCTGCCGCTCCGAAGCAGCCGAAATGCACGGGAAGGTGGCGGACGTCTTCCTCTAGATTTGTCGAGCGAACTCCGTGGCGGAAGCCAGCCTACCTTGTTCTTTGCCCCATCCACTTCGAAGAAGGAGACGCTGCCCTTGCGGTAGATCTCGTCACCGGGTGGATGGCGCCAAACGCACTTGGCCTGGGGGGCAAGGCAACACTCTCAATGGCAGGAGGCCCCACGGCACGCCATGAGCGCACTTCCCCAGCACAGGACGCCGTTCATGCGCCGCACGAACGGTGTCCCATGCACCGTTCATGTGGCGCATGAACGGGACACGGGATGTCTGACGACGAAGAACCCGACACAAGCAAGCAAAGCATGCACAGTCAACAAGAAAGGGGTGAAACAACGTGGGAATGTGGACAGCACAAGGTGGCTCTCCACCTTCCTGAATGTTTTCACTACTATCACACTGTGGAGAACTACTGAAGAGGACTGGAAGACCTGAAGTCCTGGTTAAAAGCAAGTTTCTTTGCCTGGAAATTAAAAAATGCTTTTGTCCGATTTTAATGCAAATTGCCTGTTCAAAAAGTTTTGCCGATGTTCCTTTAAACAAAAAAAAGAGTAGGCAACAGGTTAAGCATTATTTCAGTAAATCTGAGCCTCCCATTGATGTGTGAGCCAAACATGTGCATTATCGCTTACACAGCTCGTAGGCTAGTTTACTGCTTTTCCCATTTTATACCAAGACCCAGAGAGGTTCCTCGGCTAATCGTTCCACCGGGTTGTCAAGTGTGAGATCCCCTCGACGCTTACAGTGTGCCTGCGCAGGATGGTGTGGCTGTTCATGTACTTGAGGCAGAACTCGCACAGGTAGAGCTTGGCCAGGCACTGGTACTCCTCTGGGTACGGGGAGCTGTACCAGACGTCCATCTCATAGCGCCCCATCTCCAAGGTCCGGATGCCCCCCGTGCGCTGCCAGCGCAGGGACGCCCGCTGGTCCTCCTGGGAGCGGGCACGCACAGGTCCGTCCTCAGGCCCGGTGCTCGCTCAACACGGGCAAAGGCGCCGGCAAAATGCGGATGCCATACCGACAAAAACACCAATGCGGTGTGGCTAGAGCTAACGAGGACCGATAAAACGCCAACATACGCACTAATAAAGCTCAAATGAATTGCCAATAAAGCTTGAACATGCATAAAGCAGAGATGCACGCAGGCAGTGCGACAAAAACCCACAGATTGGGTGCAGATAAAGCTAGAATAAAGCGCCAATGCGGCTGGAGCTCCATTTAACTACCGATAGCATGCGAGATAAAGCGCAAATAAAGAGATGATTATCTGCTAGTTTTGTAAGGGATGATGAGAGGAACAGCTTGTACAGCGTTTATGCGGTGTTAGGTCAGCTAACTCGATGCTAAACGAGCGCCGACATCGCACAACACGCTAGAACCGTCTTTTACGGGCTCAAGGGTCAAGGAGATGATGAGCAAGACCCACCATCTCTTCGGCAGCCCTGGCCTGGGCCTCCCTGAACATGTCCAGGTCGTAGAACGGTGTCAGGTTGGACAGGTCTGGCTCTCGGTCGGCGTTCCTGGCATGGATCAAAGAGGGTGACGTCCGACCGCCCGGGAGATATTTTTGTGGTAAGAGGGCCAACACCACAAATGAGAGGTCCACAAAGCTATCAGACCCCTCAACTCTCATCACCATCATATGGCGCCCCTACCAGTTTCCTCTCGTTGATCCAAGGGGCTGAAACCATCGTTCCCATTATCGAGATACTTTGTGCAGCATTCGAAAAGCTAAATTATAAAACAAATGTATTTCAAAATCATTTTTAAGAACTCTAACCCTGGTTCTCCTTGAAGCAAAAAAAAAAAAAAAAAGAAGTCAAGATCACTTTGAGATTTTGCAAGGACTCTAGGTTTTAAGCGGGTTCATATCTGCGCGGAACCTTCAAACAAAATTTTTTGAGAGTAGAGTTTCAGAGTGGGCGATGTGCACGCAGTCCGGGGCAATGTTGATAAACACTCACTGTCCGTAGTTCCTTGCCAGAACGAGCGTCCGGCATATTCCCCCGGAAAACCTCGCGAAGCGAACGCTTCTCTTTTCGACTCCACTAACTCGAGGGCCTGCGGCAACCTCGGCACTCCAAGCTCGGTTGTCACTCCCACGTTTCGTGCTTCGGATGCAGACAACAAATCCTAGATGCCAAAGATCTACCGCACTTGCTCCAATGCGCATCGACCTTTCTAACTTTACAAAATGGTCAATTCGTTTCCAAGTACGGACAAACAAGGTGGAAAATTGCACCAGTTGATTAGTACTCGACATGGTGATAAAAACTCCCTTTTTTAAGCGCAGCTTTCCTGCCCTGCATCGGACAAACTTCAACCTTAGTTCTGTCAAAGAGGGTAAGGTTTGTCTCGGACGGAAGAGCCGAGAGGGTGGAGAGAGTGGAGAGAAGGCTGTGCTCACTGCCCCGCCCTCGACCTTGTCCGGGGAGAGGTCTTCTCTCTGCGCTGCTCCATCAGCCGCTGCAGCTTCTCCTTCTGCTCGGGAGTCTGGCCCTGCACACGCACGCACGGTGGAGTCAGTCGGAGACGTAAGGGGAATCGGGAAAGAATGTGGACATTAAAATCCCACCTGCCCCAAAAAACAATTGTGAGAACTTTGATTTACTAAAAATTGAGATATGCGCATGTTAAGCTGTCAAGCACCTCTCTGCAGAGTACCCTCATGTGAAATTGGATCCAGAAATATCTAAAAATCACTTTTATTAAAGAACCTCTGACCATGCAAAAGTAGAAGTAGACTCAACTTCTGATCTATTTTTTACCAGTTTCATGCTTTGCGGCATCGGACTATGACTTACGGAGGACTTTCAAACAATAGTCTTGTCCCAACAGTAAGCCTGGAATGTTGGATTTCAATAAAATAGACCTACATGGTGGTGCTATCAGTTTTACTATAGACCTTTTTACTGTCTACAAACATGAACCGCTTGCGTTCCAAGCGACTTCTGGTTGCTCTGTCTTTGCAAGCCTGTCGAGCTTGCTTATGTCACCAGTGCTAAAAAGTAGGGTTGTGCGAATATTCGGAATTTCGAATAGTAGTTCCGAATAATACACTATTCGATATTCGCTTCGAGAAGAACTGCACTATTCGCGTTTTTCGAAGTGTTGATTGCGGCGTGTTGGCCCCGTTGAGTCGCTTCTTGCCACGCACCGGTGCGCTGCGGAGAAGCAATACCCGCGAAGGCGAGCTCCGCGGGTGTTACTTCTCCGCAGTGCACTGGTGCTTGGTAAGAAGCGCACTCAACGGGGCCAACCCGCCGCGATAAACACTTGGAAAAGTATGAATATCGGAATTGCGTGCTTGGAAGTAAAGCATACATTCAAAGCGGGAAGGTGGGCCTGTGCCGACTGTATGTGAAAATAAATTAAAACTTTGTGAATGTGTATATCTACATTGCAGTAAAAGTTTTAAAATTAAACTGTTATGCAGGTGTATACTATGTTAGGCAGAGATGCCCTCACAACCTGCATTCATCATGCACGATTCATTCTTTTGAACTCAAGATTAAATAAAGAATATTTTATATAGCAAGATTTGTAAATTAACACTATTGGGTATAGTTGGCCATCTCTACAGGATTTATTTTATGTCAAATCTGTCGTTTACTTGCCATCCGAGGACACCAGACCTTCTGAGATCACAGTTCATAAATATAGAAGATTAAACTTAGCTTATAAATGAACAAGTGGAAAACCTTCACAAGTTCAGCTGGGTTTTCGTCTAAGCATTATGCAATGGTAGTGAAAGGCGTGGAAAAACTATTCGATATTCGAATCGAAAATATTCGGCCAAAACCACTATTCGCTTCGAATTCGCTTCGAACTCAAAATCCACTATTCGCACAAGACTACTAAAAAGCATAAATGCCACATGGACAACAAAGTTAGAGATTTATCGAGAGTTTTTGGCTGCAGAATTTAACGTCTCGGGGGAGACAAATTGGTTTGCAAGAATATTTGAAAAATTTCAGAACAGATCTCACGCTTCTTTGGTTTTTTGGCACTCACATGGAAAATTGGTAGTTAAACGTTCCATTGACATATCAAGCAGCAGTGTTAAGGTGGGCTTTGTTCATTCTTTCAATGAACTGAAAGTTTTCTAGGAAGTGAACGACTGGGACACCGCCTGGTGGCATTTTCCAAGGAAAGGGTCTGTCTATGTAGCAATTTGATAAATTGCAATTAGGGGGCTAGAGGAAAAATTGTTTTTATTATTATTTACAATAACTAAATGAAATTTTCACAGTTTATAGTGTTCATTCTCCTCTTTATAAATCTGGTGTTAGATTTCATGTAACTTGTTTTTTATGTTCTGAATAAAATATACATGCAGAAAAAAACCATGTTATTGCACACACGTGGGGCATGGCAAACACACATGAGCTTCCAACTATCGAGAGTCGACTCTATTCCACTTGTTTTCATTCAATAACTCTGGATCTGGCACAGGTAGCATGCAGAAACTAACTAGATTTGAAATGAGCACCCAAAAATATACCCACATTGTACATTGCATTGAAATCAAATCATAAACAAGAAAAACATTTTACATCCATCTTTCTCTCAATGTATGATTACCCGAGTTGAAATAACCCAATTAACTCGCAAACAGTTATATTTTTTATGAATGTAGCCAAACTTGGCATAAACTTTTTCTTGCGCCACATTGGGTCGAGGCGTTGGAGCACAGTTTGCGCAGTGCTCGAACGCTGCCGAAGCTACTTGCACGAGCGTGAGGGTTCGTTCGGCGCCCCCCTTGCACGAGAGCATGCGCAAAGGAGACGTGCGACGTCCTTTCACAGTACCGTAAAAGCTACACTAGCCTCGACAATATACCACGAAAGTGGTAAGGCCAAGTATAGTTAAAATTACCCAGGCAGAGTAATAAAGCCACTCCCAACAATTTTCGCTTTGGGCGAGGTTCAAACCGCTTCCTCGTACCAGCACCGCTAATGCTGCCTTTAGGCAGAGCAATAGCTCTCTGCGGTGCAGAGCACACTCGGGCGGTGTCAAACACTCTGTCCACAGAAATTGGGCATGTTTGGCACGACAACAATTCAGGCACCCCTCAGCAGTCATTTGACGCCTCTCAGCGCTGGTATAACAGTGCACTGGGCCCCGCATGCCACTCACAGCCTTCTTCAGCGACAGCCTGCTGTACTGCTGTTGGCGCTCGGCCTTCTTCCTTGTCCTTGCCTTGCACTGCTCCTGTGGGACGCAAGAGGAAATACTTCAAAGGTTGTGACGGTTTTTGGCGTATGAGTTGCGAGACTATCATTGAGTGTCACAACGTGAATGTGGAGGGGGGGGGGGGAGTCTATTTTGGTACTATACTGTAAATACGGGTGTAATGGACAGCCACACTCATGTAATAGCCACAACCCCTAACTTCAAGAAGAAAAGGCTGGAAAAAATATTTTAAAGTATTACCCGTGAATAGGCCAGACTCGTGAGTTTGGAAGGCTGAAAGTGCCATCTGCCTTGGACTGCAAGGACTTGTAGAACAATCCTTCAACTCCTTTCGCCGAATGGCGCACAAACATTTTGCGCCTCTCCCTCCCTCCCCCTTCCTGTTTTCACGTCGAGTTCTTTTGTTTGCAACTCATCTGTCATATTAGTGTGTGCATTTTTGCACTCAGAATCAGAGCCAGCTTTTTAGTTTCCACTTTTGCAGCTGTTGCCTACCTCAGCCCCCATGATGGGCAAGTACGCCAGGTATACAGCCCACTTTAAACTAAAAGTTGCATTCACCAAAGAAAACGGCAAGAGAGCTGCCGGACAAAAGTTTGGCATTGATGGAAATTGTGTGTGTCGTTTGTGTCGTCAAGAAGAATCATTGAGGAAGACGGAGAAATGAAAGCGTGCTTTTTGAGTCAAGCAAACTATGTTCCCCGAAGTAGAAGATCTACAGAGTCTGATCGAAAAAGGTGACTTTTTAGCTTGCATAAATAAACTAGGCTTTGCAGAAAGCTGCAAGTTAGCCAGAGTGTGATGCAAGAAATTTAAGCCAGGATGAGAAAGTTTGAGAGCATGAACTTATGTGGATCGAAAGTTAAAAGAAAATAAGGACTGATCTCTACAAGCAGACGACAACGCCGGGGAAAAGTGGAACAATCGCGTCTGCTTTGCATCGCATCACATAGGACGTTTTATGATATATTAAGAACCTGTCGATTCGCTTTCAGACAACCACGTGTCAGTGGCTACCAAAGGAGTACCAAAAAAAGCTGTTCGCATTACAAAACTTTTGGGACAATGCATGTGGGTAGCTTCATTTAACATAGGGAAGTGGATTAATTTCTTGCCTTCAATAAAAATTGAAGAAAAAAAAATTTTTTTTTTCTTCTGTGTAATGGTTGCACTCCTACTTTTCACTCTAAATCTTGAAGAAGAAAAAACATGCGGCCATTACACGCATATATACGGTATGTGTCCCATTCAGGTACATTAAAATAGCACAAATATCCATCAGATAAGGTGCCAATAGACTACTTCCATAAAGCCCTACATGCAACACGGCGCGCGTTGCACTCTGGGAACTAGTTGGCCAGCCAGGGAGGAGGGTGCATGGTTTTGGTTTCGATCGACACGTCGACAAGAGATTATACACAGAGCGTGGGCTATTAACGGCCGTTATCTCATGTTTTCTGGTCCCGAGAGCGTCATTTGTGGTCTCTAAACTAACCTAAATGGCCAGACCTCGAAGCTTTAGACAAGCCCGAGACGTATAGCTTGTCTTAACTCATGCTTGTTGTATTTTTGTACTTGAGCCTTTCTGTTAGCGTTCCAATCGAGGTATGTGGACGAGCCAGTGCTGGGAATCTCGACGCTGCGAAGCTCGGGGATCTTGCTTGTGTACGAATCAACAAGCTGTAGCAACCAATTTAAGTATGCAAGCATCAAGCTCGGGCCTTTACTTTAGTGTTGTTGATCAGAAAGTTTGTTTGTTTCGTGCGTCCATAGACGAAATATCACTTTTTGCAATTACTGTTTTTCTTAATACGCCTGAGTACGCGAGGTAAAACTCGGAGGCACCATTGAAAAGCTCAATTTTAACACACTTCTTATCTCTTATCTGTACTGACCTGCAGCACTGCACAAAGTGAGGTCCCCACCCGCTTGGCATTCCACTAATGTTCAACATGGCGTATGCGCATAAAGTTATCCTGCCCAATCATATGGGCACATTCGCACATACACACCGTTTTTAGAAGGCAAAAGTCGAGCACTTTTGTGAAGAATGTCGCACCGTTCGCCGGGAGTGCGCCGGACGGTTGCTGATGGCCATAATATTTGTTATGTGTTTGCTTTCTTCCTGCCTGAGTACGTCGAGATAATTTCAGACACACCATTCAGGCACAGATCTTGGGCGTCAGTAAAAGCTCATCCAAAAAGGCTTAGCGAGGAGTAGGGGACGCTTGTTAGGGCCTCCGTCGTAGCTCGCCGATCTCAGCGTTTGCGAAAACTTAATCTTCTATCAGCATAAAATTTGAGTGGGAGATATATGATGACACGAGGAAGACATCATAGTAACTTTTGTGCAGTAGAGAGGTCGAATTTATTGCGCTTCCTTAAAAGTTCATGCGTCAACGCTGGGCTCAACTTTGATACTCCTGTGAAAATGCGGCTTGCTTTTTGCCCAATGAAGTAACAAGAAGCAAACGTTTGGCAAACAAAATAGGTGAAAGGCTCCAGATGAACAAATTTCAGTTGTTGTTCACTGGTACTAGACGGGATTATTGAAATTGAACTGAAAGATGCACTCGTGGGGTGAGGTGACTAAGCAACGTCTTACTACGGTTGCATATGCACTCATAATATCCGGTGTTTCGGGAACCAAGAAAAGTGCCCCGGTCTTCGTTTTGTATTGCTCGAGAATGAGTGTGTTGCACGTTCGTGAAAAGTCAGATAATCGAAAACGCAAGCAGCGCGTTCGGTCTGCTCAGTCGAAACCTGCTCAGTCGAAACCGAAACTGAGCGGCCAACTAGTTCTCAGAGTGCACTGCGTGGTATTTCGCCGCGATGGGGCGCGCCGGTTTTGGAAGAAGTCCATTACAGATATTTTAGTTCAAGTAGTAGGTATTTGTAAGACTTGTTGCATTTAAGTCAAGATATTTTTGTCTCTTTTTAACGAGGTTTCACATTTTTGAATATTGAAACAATCTGCGGCATGTTGCCAAAATTATACATAGAAGGACGATTTTCAGTGTATTTAAAAAAATGACCGGATCTCCACGTGGTGAATGATGTTGATTGGGGCGAAGCTCTGGTGGTGCTGATGATACTGATTTTGTTCATAGGTAGTGCTGATAGTGCTGATTTTTTTTTATCCTCTCCGGAGCAGCTCGCTGTCTGCGTAGACGCTGAGCCGCAGCATGCCGAGCCTTTCGTTCATTTTCATTCATGTCAGAAAGAGAATGTGTGGTATGGAACGTGGTTATATATGCATTTAAGCATTTAACCGCAGCGCCCTCTCCTGTATAGACGTTGAGCGGCTACATGCAACGTTTCATCCATGACATCCCCAGATCTTGAGTTACCACCACATCTCAGAGCCCCCTACTCGTCCCGCAGTCGTGGCCGAGTGGTTAAGGCGATGGACTAGAAATCCACTGGGGTTCGAATCCTGTCGACTGCGCAAATATTTTTTCTTTTTTTAAGAAGACAGATGGGATGGCAATTGATGTGAGCACGGACGTTGGACAAGGCTAGACCCTAAGGAGCTTCGCCCCTAGAATGTGATTACTAGCACTATCCAATTTACAGTGTGTCGCATGTGCGGCAATTCAACACAGCCCATACCTGATAAGCAAGAAGTTGTGACTCCCTCATTCTGCAATGTTAATTTGGTGAGATGGAGATATCAAAACCCATCTCTATGTGCGGTTGCTGCAAGTGCTGCGCTAACAAAAGTCCGGAGGAACTACCTGGGCGGCCAGAATCAAAGGTGGAGTTCTGAACCAGTTTGAACCGGTTCGAGCTTGTTCCAACTGGTAACCAAACCAATATTTCTTGAACGTGTTTAAATTTTGTGGGTGCCCAATGGTGCCACCGTTCAGTGGCCACTAGGGTGTGCCCTGATGTATGCAACACAACGCACCATGTGTGCGAACTACGCGGCACAAGGGGAATTGCCGGGACAATAAAAGACGGCCATCTTAAACGGCATGAGGCTTCTGAGCCAAGGGCAGTCATGAACAGTAGCATGCTCACTTCTTCTATGTCAAACTAACCGTCCTTCTAACATTAAATGTGTTTTTTTTTTTTTTTTTTCGAAATCCTGGCTCTGTGTTGTTTCTCTGGGTTAGGCATGCAGCAAGGAAACTTTCCCACATGGTGCCCTACGTGTTTTTGATGGAGTGAAATACAAGCCTACTGAACCTGAACCCGAAGACTGATAGGTTGGATACCCTGCCTTGATGCCGGAGCTGACTTGGTTTGTCTAAGCAAGCACAAACGACTCTGTAGCAAAAATTAACTGACGTGTCGTCCTCTAGGTGTTTCTCATGCAAAAATGAAGGGCTTTTCTGGATGTTGGTCATCCTTTAATGTGAAACGTTAGAAAGGTCACCGTGAGGCGCAAGGAAAGAGGGGAAGAGACGGCCAATGCTCACCTCGCAGTCTGCCGCCGTAGTGTTGTGGTACAGGGGGCAGCACTCGAGGGTCCCGTGCGTTGCAAACTTCCCGCTCAGGTGACCTGCTCCAAAATGCAGTGGGCAAGACCCCACACAGCACTCAGGAACAGCAAGGATCGCTCGCGAGCCAGACTCGCTGAGCAACCATTTAACCGAGAAAATGAAACAGCAGACAACAGAAAACGCACGTGCCACCTACAAACTGTGGCAATAAAAACACTTCTTTCCGAAGACATTTATTTGAGAAGCTGGAAAGTCCAGAGAAAAACTTAGCTGACGCAACCTCACCCACGCTTTGTAACAGTCGGAGACTGTTACAAAAAATGGCTGGACTTTCGATAGTATGAAGGACTTTCAATAGTAGTACTATCAATACTTCAATATTGATAGTTTTCGACACTATCAATCGTTTTTCCAAACCTACCGATTGTATCGATAGTCAATTTTTCTACAGTTTTGCATTACTACTCACATGTCATTGTAAGCTGCTTTTCCGCTTATTGGTTGTGTAAGAATACTGAGGCATGTCGGAGAGGCACAGCAGAGCTTCCATGGTCATGGCACATAGTGAATCATCTTCATTTTCAGTGTTTGCTTCTTTTAGAAGAGGGTCGAACATTGTTGTGCCAACCTCAGCTGGAAATGCTAAGCTGATGCCCTGCCGCAGTCTCCTCCTCGGACACTTGTATTCTTTTAGGCCGTCAACACGCATTCTTTTCTTTGAGAAGAACATAGAATAAAGGCTGAGACCTCTATGTTTGTCGGGCTGTAAACAACTTTATTTTTACGGTCACATAATTTCGTGGACTTTGCGGAGTATGAAATTCTGGAGTATTTAGTGGGCACAACATGTTACGACTGGGAGTGGTTCGCTAGGCACTGGTTGCAATGGAGTGATGTATTTACGTGATAAATTTTTCTCATTTTTATACCGTGATAGTTATTCCCAGAAATTAGTCTGCTTTAGTATTTGATGCGGTTACTGAAACAGTAAAGAACCATATTTCGTTCTCTAATACAAAAAGGTAAAAAAAAAAAAGAAGAAAACTGCGAGATATTTAAAAAAAGGAAACCACGAAAAAAAAAAATATATTGTTCAGGGAAAAAAAAAAAAAAAAAAAGTCTATGTTTTTTTGTTGGCAAAATGCTTTCTAGACAGTTTTTGAGATGAAGGAACCATGTGAGGAGCCCGATGGGGCAAGCAGATGCCAGCATGCGAGAAGAATAGCAGCTTGTCTTTCCTCACTTTTAGTTTATACTCTGTTTAGCCTAAAGCTGATGGTGCGGAGGGAGCTACGTGCTGGCCGAGCCATTCAATTGCTTCCTTTCGTCTCCTGACTCCTCTCTCTGTGCATAGGTATGGGCAGGGGCGTAACCATGTGGAAAGATAGGTGTATGACTGGTCTGATGAGCACATAGCATCCACAAAACTGTCAGTATTTCAAGTCCAAGGGTCAAAGTGAAGGCTAGCGTCAAGAGGGGGGAAGTGGGAAAGAAAGAAGGTGCGGCTTCTGCATTTCTCTGTGCGATTACTGACTAGCCGCTTCCGAATCCTAAATGGTGACAAAAAAGGAACGGTTCTTTCTTTCTTTCCTCTTGCGGGAAAAACGAGGAGAAAAGAGGAGAGTGGAGAGTAAGCTTTCTTCTTTCTGCGTGTTGGTCGACCTTTAAGCCACCGTTATTACAGATGTCCCATCATTTCGCGGTGTCGTTTCGTAAATTGCAATCAAGCTATGTTTCAGCATACCTTATCTGGGGACCTTAATGGAGTCTGGGGCCGTCGTTGTCACTGGGACCTCCTGCGGGCTGCCTGCCATTGGGCAGCCCGCGGGAAGCCCCAGTGACGACGACTGCCCCGGACTCCGTTTGCCGAGAGGTCGACCCGGTTGCACGCGCGGTCACCTTTGGAGTCGCAGCCGGGCAGCGGGCAGCGGTCCTCGGCCCGCTCTTCCCGGGGGCACTGGCCGTTGGCAGCGGGCATCTCACGCAGGATGCGGTGCCGGTTGGCCGGACTGCGGCCTCCCCGGGTCGCCCCCCGGGGACTGGGACGTTTGCGGGGGCTGCCCTCCCCCTCCTGGCTCTTGCCTGCGGCCACAGAGGTTACGGAAAAACCATTTGGGGCTTTTCACCGACGCACCGAGGCCTTTACAGAAACCCCGAGGCCCCACCAAAAACACAAATTTAGTGTTTGTGTATAGACACAGTAAGGTCACTGCCTTTCAGGTATGGCAACACTGGTTTACGCTGTAGATAAGGAATTTACCCATTGCAGTATGACTGCTAGCCTGGGGTCTTTAACTTGCATCAAGCAGCAGTGAGACACGAATGCATGCCAGTACTTATGCAGAACGAGACGGGCAGGGGTGACAACTCTAAAGTCCCTGTGAGGATACGTCACATGCCCGACTATGACGAGAAGGATATATCCTCCCGAAGCAGCAATTCCAAGCAAATTTCATACTGCCCTCGCCAGCTCTACGCAGTTCTTACGGTAAAGCGTTTCGGAAGCTTATGCTGACTGCTACTGGTCATGCATATATTTTAAAATTCCAGTCACTTCCGAGTCTTCTGGTTTAGAATTCACAAATTCCAATCTTAGCCCTTTAACTCCCAAGTTTCTTTCGTGGTGGCCACACCTTACATGGACGCAGATGCGTGCACTGTGTTCTTTCTGTCAAATACAATATTTTATTTTTACGAGGACTACCTTAACGGGGGTGTATAAGAAATGGAAAGTGCTTCAGAACATTTTTGAAAACATAAAAATTCTGTCTGTCAACAATTGGGAACCACTTTAAAAGCACGGGAGGACGTTGAACAGGCCGGTCGGAGACACGGATGCCGTAACGAAACTCCTCCGAGAAAGAAGCGGCGGGCGAGGAGGCGGGGTCGCTCACCCTTGGGCCTGCCCCTCTTGGGCGGGGTGACCTCCCCGTTCACCTCGGCAGACTGGTGGGCCGCCTCGGGGCTGGAGGGTGCCCCGGGCCGCTTCGGGGTAGTCGCCGCCACCGGCTCGTTCTGGCACTCGTCCTGCTGTGCTCGGGGAGACGGAGGAGGAGAAGATGGAGGCCCGCCCCTTCAACGAACGCTTGACCTGGCATTTTCGCACGCTTGCGTTTGCTTAGGACTAGGGGTGTCGCGAACTTTTGTGGAACCAGATTTTTTGGTCGAACTTTCGAGGTTCGACCGGGTCGAACCGGTTCGACGAACCTTCAAACTTTTCATCAGATTTGACCGGTTCGACTTTGTGGACAGTGTGGCCAGACCTTGATACAAGCATGTCTAGGTTTGGAGAATTTTTTTTTTTTATGCAAAGTGTTATTTTATTTTGTGAACAGCTGCAATTAAAATAAACTAATTCTAATCACTGAAGAAGTTAATAACTTAATTTTTAGTACTTTATTGACTAAAATAGCCAATCAGCGCTGCACTTAATTCATCTCTGAGCCATTACTATCCAATCCGAAGCCAACTGGCCAGCCTGTCGCGCATGCGCACACGAGTCGAACCTCAATACAAGGTTCGTCGAACTTTCTACTAAAAGTTTGAAAAAGTCGAACCTGGTCGAACTCGAACCGCGGCCGGTTCGCGACACCCCTACTTAGAACCGAGCTCCTGCCATCTCTTACAACGGGAGAATGTGCTGGCGCCATCTATAAGGCGACCCTGGAACTGCATTTCACTAGAGCCAAGGTTCTGCGGTATTTGAGAGACCGAATTTTGTGCGTACTATCGGAAGAGATGGTCGTTTATGACATTGTGAAAAGTTTTTTTACAGAAAGAATAACGTGCAAAAACAATGGGAAAAGAAACAGCACGTATTCCACCAGATGGAAGTGTGTTTTCTCGTCATAAGAGGTGGCATACGGTTGTAACCAGGTGCAAGTGCAGAGGTCAGTCTGTGCGAGGGAGCTTACGTTTCTATGCCGGCCCCTGTGCATGTGGCGGGTGACGCGAGGCCGCTTCGGGGTCGACGGGGGAGAGTCTTCCTCCCCCTCTGGCGACAGCTCCGCCACTCCGTTCGCTGGTCCCGCCTCCTCAGCTCCCTCACTGCACTTGCTGCACTTGTCTGCACAGGCAGAGAGGCCCGTCGGCAGATGATCCCCGGGCCCCTCCCTAGATGCACTTTGGCTGCTAGATAAACGATCCCGGAACGCCTTTGGCGTTCCGAGACGGCCCGGAGTTTACCCGGCAAAACTTCGGTGCATCGGATCGAAACGTCGGGTTTTACTACGGTGTAAATTGGTCATAACAGACCTCGATAGTGACCAAGATTTCAGTCTGTCGTAAAAGGAGTATGCTGTATGCAGATATGAACTTGAACCAATGGTACAGATAAAAAAACTAATCGAACTTCAGAAAGCAGTATGTTAAGTATATCCAAATGTCTATTGTAAGCAGGTCTGTTGTAACGAGTTTATAGTGTATTCTTATTCGACGAGTTGCACCTTGACGAGGCGCGAGACAGACATGGCGTTAAAAGGTTTTGTGGGGAGTTACCTGCCACAATATTCGGCCAGATAGCTCGTTCAAAAATTTAGTCCGAGCCTGCTTGCGGCTCAAATTCCTGTTCCTTTCACATGGGCATCCGCAGAGGGGTGCAAGGGGGGGCAGTGGCCCCCCTCTGGAATTCTGAGGGGGATGCAAGAGGGAGGGGGGGGGGGAGCTGTACCCACACTAGTTAATGGGTACACCGGCGTTTTTTTAGCTACCCAAGCCAACTACATTTTCTGAATAACATGGATTTACTGAAGATCGCTTCAGTTAGTGCATTTCATCTCGTCAAAAATGCTATGTATAGGAAAAGTAGAAGTAAAAAATGCAGGGCGTCGATAGTGCCGAGAAAGCTTTGTCAGGGAAAGAGCAGAAAACTTTCTCCGGACAGAGAAAACCTTTAACGAAAAAGTCGCAAGAAAGTAGAAGAAACCTCCCCCTCTCCACAAAGAGCGATGTGGTCATGATACCAAAAACAAAAGAATGCTTCAACAGCGAGTGTGACCCTGTGGCGCCACGGTTTGCAAAGTTTCGGAATCAGCGGCGCACACCCATAGGCAGCCCTTAAATTGCCCGTTTCTTTTTTGTATGCTTAGAGTTCTAGCCAAGAAAGTCTGGTAGTTCATATTCGTCCGGTTACAATGCCAGAGCGCCAGCAATGCCAGCGGCTGCCGCGCCCAACCTACGTAACTGCCCCAAGCAAAAGAAAAAAAAAAAAAAGTTTTCTTTTAATATATATATATTTGGGTGCCTGCAGGCCGCAATCGTTCTCGTACAATACGTTAGTCGATCCGATCAGGCCTTGGCCTCTGACTTAGCGGCGCATCTGCCCGCTGGCTGACACGAAACACCGTGAGACTCGAGGAGGCCGCATACGCTCGGTGACATCACAGAAAGGATTTTGTCTTCCTACCACTGCTTCTCCTCCTCTCTTTCCAGACTCTTTTTTTTTTTTTTTTATGACCTTTTTCTTTAGGCATTTAGACTTCAGGAGAGAGTTAAGGGGCCACAGGTGAAAGTTTCCGATTCCGCGTGCGGCGGCGAAGAACGCGGTAGGCATGATTTCCGCTGATTTCGCTAGTCTAAATGTGATCGTAACCTCTGGTGGTTAGCAAGAACATCGACATGGTTCCACATTTTGCGGATGTGGATCAGTTACGGATACAATAATGTAAAAAGTTTGCGGATGCGGTTCGGATGCGGATACAAAGTCTGCGGATGCGGATTGGATGCGGATACTCAAACTGTTATCCGGGCAGGGCTCTAGAGGTAATAGGTCACACCTCGAACACCAAGCCACCCTTTTTTTCGCTATGTTCGATCTCCTTTGGGGTGGGCTACCTTTTGCAATATTATGGCAGGCATTGGAGCCGTAAAAGTTACTCCTAAAATGTAACAGGGTTACGGTTAGTTAGTCGAGCTGGAATGTAATTAAGTCACGAATACATAATTACAGATGTATACACTTTCACATATCTGTCTAATTAGTTACTCACAAAAAGCAACAAAGCAGCATTCAAGATGCCAATTAATGACTCATTTCCACTGAAAGCGCAGGAAGGGGGAGTCCTCACCGAGGTAAGAACGGTTTGCCTGCGGGGGCAAGCAGTCCTGGTGGAAGCACCGGTCGCACGTCTTGCACAGCACAAACAGGGCCTGCGGGAAAACGTCGGGACTGGTTGCTGCCACTTCCCACATTCCCAAGTCGCAGCAACTGGTTTCGATCCCAGCAATTCGTGTTGCAGCACATCGTCAACCATCCCAGAATTGCGGAGAAAACTGTTCCGGCCGGGCAGAACGAGAATGTCCCAAACCATAATAACTACCGAGTTAGTCACCCTCTTTGTAGGCCAAAACAAGGTGGACGTCAGAGCTTCGATGGGATCACGAAACAACATTTGACTGAAGTTTTAGTGACTCCATATCATTCGGTGGGGCACAGGAAAACTAGCACACAATGGTAGAGAGCGAGAAATGTAACTTTTGCCACAAAACATAAGAAATGAGAACGGTCTATTACTCTTCATTTTTTGGGAAAGGCTACCGAGCTCTTGGGTGCTATTTTGTCAGTTTGTGCCGACAATGTTTGTCGCAGTCACGTGCCTCGGTTGGCAATGCTTACAGCAAGTGCTATGTAGCAGATATTCTCAGAGCCTGGCGAGTTCCATCATGGCACAGACTAGCTACGAATGTGAGGCCGAATATTCGCCGACAAATCGACTGTTAGCAAAAGCCAGTTGGCAAACATGGTAGATTTGGCTGCTTTGGCCAGAAGTAAGAAGATATATTCGATCCCGAAATTTCAGCAAAAAACATAACATCTCGGTTGTCTCGCATTGCGGTGGAAGACGAAGCCCTACTCGGAGGAAGCAGCCACCGTGTGTCCAATACTTGCATCGGCAGCCCGAGCGGTTTGTGTATCTTCAATAAATGGCTGCATGAAAGTAGTGCTTTCTGGTGCCATTTTCTTTGTCCTTGCCTTTACTGACACTTTGTGTTAAGTCATGTACTAACGAGCCAGCCTATCCATTTAATCGTGGGATTCGGGGCCCGACTTGCTACCGGAGCTAACCCACGGTCGGCCGGCGAGAGCGGTCACTCACAGAGGCGGTTTCGGGCTTGGCGCAGCGCTCGCACAGCCGGCACCGGTGGCACTTCCAGTCGTAGGTGGTCACCACCTTGGCCGCCTCGTCAGACAGGCCCAGGCAGAACGGGTGAGCTGCAAGGGGAGGGCACACCATGGGAGGACGCTCTCTGGAAGGGCTTCCCAATGCCCCCGACAATCCAGATTTCGAGGTATCCGGCGGCAGAGGCCAAGAGCCACTCCGTCCTCGGCACAAGGTTGTACGTGGGGCTCCTATGCAGTAGTTCTCAATTGGGAGTCTGCGGACCCTTTTGTGGTGTACGAAGGCTTTCTTAAAGTCCCCAAAGTCCTCAACCGTTGGTCGAGCCAAGCAATAAAATTCTAGAGTACGGTAAGTATAATAATAATAATAAGTACCGATCTTTATTTATTATATCATATTAAGTTTTTTCAACCACTATCATTGTTATAGACCAAAACATGAATAAAGGCTGTTCATCATATATATAGTACCAGTCTGAGAAGTTTCATAAATCCTTTAAAAAGGTAGAGAACTTTCAATAAATAATATTCGAGGAATAGAAGAGAATACTCTAGCTTAAAAGCTGCGATAGTGAGAGAGAAAGGTTGAAGGTGGACACGCAAAGAGTGTAGCATTCAGATACTACAACTAACTGTAGGCCAAAGGCTTAGATTTGTACCTTAAGTCATTTGACTTTCAGGCAGCCAATGCCAAGGAAGGCATTGCCTTTTGGCACAGTTCTCTAAATCAACAAGACCCAACTTTGCTCTGGACAAATTCGGGCAGGAAAAAAGTGTCTCATGACGAGAGTTCCCTTCTGGTCCTTCAACAAAGGAGAGTCGGGCTCACCAGCTGTGTAATCACTGCACCTTTCCTCTGGTATTTTATGCTCGGGTAGTTGCTCCAGCAAATACTGAAACTGCCCAAACGCGTGGTCGAGCATGAGGAACTGTCAGTGTTGTGAAGTACTTTAAGTACATAGTACTTATAGCACTACTGTAAGTAGGTTTAGAAAACTTGTACTTTACTTGAAGTGAATTCTTCGAGTATATACTTGTACTTCACTTAAAGTATGTGGCCCAAATTTTGTCTCGCTAAATTTGTATCAGAAAATGATACTTTGTCTACTGCAAAGAAAGACTGGGAGAGATATTCCACTTTCACGAGAAAAGCGAGCAGACAGCACGTCACTTTGTTTGTACCGGTGGTGGCTTTCCCGCAGCATCTCCAACTCTCGCTACTTCTTGCTCAGTGAGTGCAAGCGAGGAGGTTAAAAACATTGCGAGAGGACACTCCTGTACAAGAAGATTGCTTGTGGAAGCCATGGGGTTGATGTCATGCTCTCTCCTAGTATGTTCAACTCCATTGGGTGGAAGTCAGTGCAAGCGGCGCCAGATTCAGAAGTCTGAGGGACTTCTGCCATTTCCGAAAATAACTAATGCACCCTCGTTACCCCTGGGAAAATGCATAAAAAACACTGTGTAGGGGAATGAAAGGGCATGATGAAAGATTATGTTAAAAAAGTACTTTTACTTTACTTTGAAAGCACATTTTATTTATAGTAAGCACACTGCACCCAGCATACTTACTACTTTACCTGAAGTACATAACCTCTTATTTACTTTGTACTTCAAGCAGGTACTTTTTAGATGTACTTTTACCCAACACTGGAAACTGTGTACAATCCAATGTGTGCAAGAAATGTTTGCCTGGCAGGTTGGTGAGTAACTGATTAGCAGGAAAGAGGGAAAGTTGTAAGAAGAGAAGAGAGCACGAAGACACTGGCGGACCCTTGCGGCTTTGTCCGTGCACCTAATCTGCGTTTGTTGACTAGTCTCCTCGGGCACACGCTTCGAGACCGAAAGAGTTGGCCATCCCACGGCTACTGGGTGGTTCTTGTTACATACCGTACAAGTTATACCATACCCATTTCAGTTAGGACTCCAGGCAAAGACACTGATAGAATTTGTAAATAAATGATCAATAATATTGCGCAAGTAACAAGAATTTGCAGTATAAACACAGTTCAATTTCATACCTGTCTGCTTCTTTGTCTATCGCCAGGTAGCTCAGATATTGAGGGAGAGGTAGATTGAAATCAGATTTACATACGGGGTGTCCCAATATGAGTGCAATGCTGCTTACTTTTTCTGACAAGCGATAACCAATACCTAACTTTCCCTAAAAATACTGCACAGCCCCGCTCCATAATCTTTTTTGCCTCTCGGGTGATTTTAACGTATTCCTCGAATCGGAAGACACCGCCGCCAACCACCCAGCCCATGTACTAGCAGGCTACCGGTTTGGCCACCGGTTTGGCCGTCGATCAGACCACCGACCCGACCACTGATCTGGCCATTGAACCAGACACCAAGCCCGGAGCCGGGCATGTGCACAACAAGCCCTGTGGGGGCGGGCGTACCGCAGGTGTCGCACTCGGCGCAGGCGATGAGGAGTGCGGGGGGGCTGCGCCTCGTCTCCAGCACGCTCTGGGAGCAGACGGTGCAGAGGGGCTCCGACGAGAGCCGGGTCCGCAGCTGCCGGGGCCGCTTCGAGGGCGAGCAGGCCTCCGCTGGGAGGACCACAGGCGGCACCACTCAGCCCCCCGCACAACACCTGCCGCAACGAGTAGCGTCCCCTTGCGCCCCGAATCGTGAGAAAATAAAATAAAAATATAGCCGCCCGTGTTGAGGGGGCAGTTTCGAATTAACAATTCCCACTTGTTAAGTATAGATCGAGGGACTCCGGTACCTTGCGCATAATTTCTCAGGCGTTAACAAGCCGTAGGCATCATCCAGGCAAGTTTCCCGCATAAAAAGCCACAAAGACGTTGTCCAAGCTCGGGCTGGTGCTTACGAAAGCATTTAGAAGATTCTCAGGGGCATCTGGAGCAATACAAGAGCGGACAAAACCGGCGCAATCATTTACCACGTTTCAGATCGATTCACACTTCTCCATAAATTCGCACCGGCGAGCTCGAGTTAGTGATTTTGAAACTAGTGAGATGGTCGCGAGACTGATTTCCACCTCTGGTAGCTTCTCTCGGCACGCACTCGCTCAGGCTCCCGCAGCCAAGTACACACCTCTCAAGGCAAAAGTGGCACAGATTTGCTGCCAGGCCGAGTTCTTTTTTGGGCGCTCATTCAAATCGAGGTGATGCTTTTATAAAGAAATGAGTATTCTTTAGTAGCGCTGACCAGAGCTGCTGCAGAGACCTCCATGGCTCTGTATCCATGGCCGCTACCGCGAACCGAAGCGTTGGACGGATGTGTTGGTTGCTTCCCCCACAAAAGTGTGGCGTGCCAAATGTAAACAAACGCGAGGCACGCCACGCATCACTTCTGAGGCGCCACTGATTGGTTCAGCTGCCAAGCGACTCAATGGAAGCGGTCACTTCTGCAACCACTTCTGCCAAATTGGTCTGGAAGCGACTGTTCCAAAGCGATCACTTTTTCGACTGTGACTGTCACTTTTGCTATGAAAGTTGTAAAATGACTTGCAAGTGTCATTGTGCCTTTACATCTACTGTAATATTCTGAAAGATAGCTCCCCCAAAACTGAAAGCAAATCGAGTGAAAAGAAGGGCTGGTCTATATAAGGGCTGGTCTATATAATCGAGTGAAAATAAGGGCTGATCAACAAAAGTTGAAAAAGTGCTATTTCTAGGTCATGTGGCCTCCAAAAGGTGTTATCCTAGCGAGGGGCAGTGAAGCAAAGATTACTGTCCCTCCCAGTCTGAAATATTTGCTCTAGCTAACTAACCCCATTTTCACCAATGTAACAAGATATTTCACCCGCTCAATCAGTCATGCATCTGCCAACTAGGAGCACTCGCAGCGAGGGATGTCACAGACTTCTGTCGAACCTGAGGTTCAACCGGTTTTATCCTTCAAACCTTTAGCTAAGCTCCACAAAGTTCGGCTTATGAACAGTGTTGCCCAACTTCAACGCAAAAATGTTGAATTTCTGGAAACGATTTTATAAAGTAGTTTATTTCATATCCTGTAAAACGATTAACAATGTCTACATATTATAAAAGCAAAGACACATAGTCTCACTGCTTTAGTTAGTTTATTAAGGCAAAACAATAAAACAAGACTTAACAAGTATACTACATTTTTCCTCCACTAGGAGGCACAAGGTCGTTTTTCAAATGTTTTCGCATGGGCACAAAAGTCAAACTTTTAGTCAGAAGTTGCAAAAGGTCAAACCCAGTCAAACTTGAACCTAGGCAAGTTTGTGACGTGCCTGATCGCAATGGCTCGATCCAGGCTCTTCAGTACCGAGAATGCTGTCGGCGTACCCGCCAAGCGCGGCGGCGTTTCCGGAACCCCACTCACCTTCGGTGCTGGCCTCCCTGGGAGGGGTCTGGGGCACGGAGGGCACGGGGGGCAGCACCGCCTCTCGGCGCGACTGGCCCCGCGTCACCACATGGGGCGCCGGCTCCGCCTCGCTCTCGTCCGAGCGCGAACCCTCCGAGCTGGTGCTCTTCAGCTGCCGCTGCAAGTGCGGGAGAACCGCCACACTCAGCATCCGCCCAAGACAATGGAGCGAGCCCAGGGTTGGCCCCCGGAAAGCAATTGAGGCAAGCGATAGAGCGTTCAGGGGGCTCGAGACCGTCAACTTGTGAATGACAACTTCATTGCCATTTCGCGAGCAATCCCAGCCATGAATGGAAGGGTTGCGCAAATACTCGGATTTTCGAATACTAGCTGCAAATAATGCGCTATTCAATGTTCCCTTTGAGATGAACGGCAATATTCGAGCTTTGCAAGTTGTTGGCTAAGTCACAGTTTTGGCAGATCGGATCGATCGGGCAGATCGTCATAAGAGGCTTAAAACCGGTCTTGTCGCTCACGGTCGTACTCGGTTGCAATCGTGTGAACGGTGCTTAATATTTTTTCGGCGCACACGAACGTGGCACTTTTTGGTTGAAGCCTAGCCCATAAACATATTCTGCGTTAAAAACTGGAACTTGATAAACTTGGTAGAGCTTACAGCAATGTTTTCTAAATTAAAGTATGACTATTATGCAAGAATACACGAGGCACATCCAGAATGCATAAAAAATACAAGCGCCAGAGATGGACAACAAAGGGAACAAACCAAGCACTCGCATTCTTGTTCCATTCTCTGGTGCTTTTGTTCTTGATACAATGTACCAACTGGCCCATTTTCCCATCCTACCAGAAAGCAAGTGCCTTTTGCGCATAAATGTTGCAAGAGCATCCACTTCGTGTTATGCATACGCAGCTATGTTCTCTCGTTCATTAGCCGCACCCTGACGTCATTTTGTAAAATTAAGAGTATGTCAGAGGGTGTGCACTGTCCTATTCACAACACCACATTTCTTCTAAAAAAAAGGGGTGTGTGGCGATGCTTGGTCACTTTTTAATAGGGAAAAGGCCACGCATATGATTGTAACATTGGGTTTTCTAAGATGCTTAGGAAAAACAGTTTAGTTCTTTTAAAAGTGAAAGGTTAAACACACAGAAGGGACGGACTGAAAACGTGCCATTGCCTGGGTTTTGTCCCTTCCATTCTTACTATTTCGCACGCTTATTAAGTTCAACACAAGGCCACGATAGGTGGCTCCTCGTTCATAGCAAGAAGAAAAAGGCATAAAAACATTGTAACTTCTTCCAGGTAATTTGACGTAAAGCCCCTCAGGCGAGGTAAGGTGAGGCAGTACCGGAGACTGAAGGTCCTAGAGATGGCCCCCTCTGCCCCTGTCCCACTCCCAAATACTCACTCTTCTCTTTGGCATCCTGCTCCTGAACGGCCGCAAGGACTATTGCACGCTGCTGCGATGTGAAGAATGCCCCCAAAATTTACCTGCAATGTGGAAGCATACAACGCAAATTTCCTCATCAATAGACCCATCTGCATGTTGTGCGCCATCTAGCGGCAGTGTTTTCAAACCACAAGGGGGACCTGATGCTGGACACTGTTGGCTGCCATATATGTAGAAAGTGCTTCAAGCCCTTGCATTCCTGATGCCTTTTCATTGCTTCGTGCCAAGTTACGAGAGCAAATCAGAAAGTCTTTGCCCCTATTTTTTATTAGCCAAAATAATGTACATACAGGTAATTACAAACATAAGTACCATTCTACGTACCTCACACTATTTTTCCACATAATCCCCACACCGGTTCAGACATTTGTCCAATCACAGCACTAAAGTTGAGATGCCCCTGTGGTAGAATTCGTCCGACTGACTGTAGAACCACCGGTGGACTGCTGTTTTGGCTTCATCGTTGCACGGGAATCGTTATCCAGCCTGGAACTTTTTCAGCGGACCGAAAATGTGGAAATCACTAGGGGCGTAGGTCCACAATCCCCCCGTGAAATGACCGGTGCTTGTCGGCAGTTCTGATTGCCACGTATGGCCTCGCATAGTCGTGGAGGATAACCACGTTGTCCACATCGAGAATCCCTCGGTGCTTTCGCCGAGGCCGGGCAAGGCCGGTCCAAGAAAGGTCTCCCGCTGGGAATGGATATGTTAACTTCGCATTTACAGCCATAACTTGGCCAAAAAAAAACAGGGGCAAAGACTTTCTGATTTGCCCTCGTACTTTGTATGCAAGGCGGCATCAATGATAATAATGGAGATAAGGTGAGATATCCCGTTTTTCGAATCACGCTAAAGAGCACAATCCTATCACTCTAACGAGCAAGGGAATGCGGACACAAACTGCAGACATGTATGGAACTTAAAAATGTACTACAGGAAAAAAATAGTGTTTTTTTTTGTAGCAACATGCAATTGAATACTTGCTCTGAACAGGGTAGCTGGCCTACTGGTGCTGTTGCAGTGGAATCTTTAAAATCTATTCCTATGTATTAAAATCTATTCCTATATATGCACTCCTTACTATACACATGTTGTGCAACAACAACAATATTGCCAGGCATACGAATAATGTCATCAGCATGAAAACATTTAAGCATGAGCTTCGTTCTGGCAAACTCTGGTATGTGGTATTCTTCTCTTTCCAGGTATCCATGTATGTTCTCCAGTAAATCTATGTGTGCGCAAGAAATTGATGATCACCGTAAAACACAGCGAGGGCAAACAGTTTCATTACGAAATGCATGAAATTGTGCGCAGACAACACACAAACTAAGAAAGCAATTAATACAGAGTGTGTGGATCGCAGCCATTGCTAACGTTAAGTTGCAAATTCAAGGACACGAACAGTGCAAAGGACAAGGACTAGTAAAGGTGGACAAGACGAGCGCTGACTAACAAGAGAGAGGAGAAAGAAAAACGTAAGGGGAAGATAAGTAAGGGGAAGATACAGAGGGAAACTAGTCCTCGTCCCTTGTGCCGTTTGTGTCCTTAATGTTTAACTAATTAGTGCCAATTCAACTGATGACGGTTCAAGGTAACTTTCAGTGACAAATTTGCAGGTAGACCATCATGTATGCTTGCTCTAGGGTGGCATAGTACTCTTCAGCTTTTGACTTTTCTGAGGTGACAGGTAATCGCAGTCGAACTCCTGCTTGGTACGAGATCGACGTTAACCACACTATGGTGCCTGGAACACGTCTCTGTCTGGTGTGTTTAGCATCCGCCCATTCATCCAAAGTGGTCCCAAAATGGCAACAAATGACCTCCCAACAGCCGTAGTCTCATGATGTCGGGTGTCGCGATCCCGGTGGTTGGCCGTAGAAGTTCCGGCAAAAAGCACGAGCAAATGCGAGTGCCACTGTTGTCGCGGCGTCCCAACTCCTGGCCGACGAGGCTTCCGTGGACTGTACAACTGGAGAGCGACCCGCAGCAGAACAGGCGTCTACCACATGCACCACCGCTGCTGGGACAGCACCAGGATTGCGACCAGTGACAGCGTGACACTTCCACGATGTCATCAGGTGGAAATCGAGAGACCACATTTTTGGACGCGGTAGACGCACCAGTCAGAAACATGTCCTACACACCATATTCATACTTGCCCCCCCCCCCCCCCCCCCCCTCGAAAACAATTCTTGAATACGCCGCAGCTTCCCGCGTGGATGAGCGGGACTTGTCGGCCGCTCGTCCACATGGGAACCCATCACTCGCGAGTGGCTGACAAGTGCCGTTTGTTGTTTGACCTTATTCAGCAAGGTTTGATCGTGCTATCTGTCATTCTGCACCAATGCTAAGTGTTTTCAGATGTGTTTTAGGATGCATAGAGCTCATAGATTGAGTTATGACCATAAAAAGAGGATCTCAAAAAGCACTTTAGTGGCCCTTAAGGGAGTGTTGTCCTGGCCCGAGAACAGAAGTCGAGCTAGCAGAAACAGAGTACCATCACGGATATCTCGCGCAGCCTCATCGTGCAAAGAAAGTAATATGCAGTGCACAACCGACAAACTTTGCCCAGCAGCATGATTACTTTGTGGTCAGCACAACAGTTAAGGCATGTTGACACTTGCGAGTTCTAGCAGTTGCGCAACAGCTTTTTGTTGCAAAAGCAACAGTCACAGTCGCAAAAGCGACCAGTTCGGGGCAGCTGCTTCCAGACAGATTTTTGAGATTGGTCTTTGAGTCGCCTGAATGTTGAACTAATCAACGGTGCCTTGCATGTTTACACCCGGAACTTCTGCGGGAGATGCAACCAACATGTCACGACTGACACCTTAATTCGCGGGAGCGACTACGAACATGCAGCCTAGGATGTCTCTGCAACGACCCTGATCAGTGCTAGAGCACTCATTTCTTTATCACAAGCACCACCTCTATATGAATGAGCACCTAAAAACAAACTTGGCCAGGCAACAAATTTGGGCATTTTGGTTTGACTAGTACGTACATACTGTAGAAGCTCAGGTGAGTGTATGCCGAAGTAGCAATTGTGACTTCACTGTACGGTTCCGAAGGACCCAAGCCAGTGTCACGAGTCAATCTCTTATGGCGAAAACGACGCGTGTGAAGCTGTGCGACAACAAAAATGAGAAAGAAGCATATTGCGAACCTGAGTTGTGGCAGGAAGAACGGAATCGACGGCGGCTCCCGAGAGCTTCAGAGGTGTAACTCGTCAGTAGCACCTTGCCGATTGCTTGCAGTGCGAACATCAGTGGTCGCTTGTCGCATGTTGCTATGGTCCGTCGCAACTTAAGAAGGTAGTGCGAGGGAAAGGAAAGCCGGGGAGGAGGAAGCAGACGAAACACTGGAGAGAGGAGGACGTCTCCTCCTCTGCAGCGTTCCGTCAGCTTCCTCCTCCTCGGCCTTGCTTTCCCTCGCCCTCACTTCTTGAGGTGCAACGGACTATCGTCGGTCGCGCGACCACTGCGAGTGGCGAGTGTGAATTCGCGTTTAGTGCCTTATCCACTCCATAGACTCCAGCCTTTAGCCGAATATTAGGTACCCAGATATAATCGAGGCAGCCCCGAGCGTGGGTAAGCTGCAGCAAAAACCGCGATGGGGAGGCACATCGAAGTGCATCCCGAAACACGAAAGGAACATGCTGAATCACCGCGGCTTTGCACACTCGTTCACGCCCTCTTCCTCGCAGCCGGTTAAAATTTTCGTCTCGGGGCGGGGCCACTGGCAGCTCTCGCTTGTCGCTCGATCGCTTCAGTTAACGTTGTCCGAGACGGTACCGAGAGCGCAGTTTCACAAACTGCTTGGTTTCGAGGTTTCGTCCGAGGGAAGACCCTTCTGAAGCTTAGCGCCTCTCACAGCTCTTAGATAAGTTTCGACGTTTCGAGATACAGTACAGTGTACAGTCTCGGTCGGACAAGAGTTCGTTCTAGCAAGAGCGCATTCAAGCAGCGATATGCGGGCGTGGTGACGGTAGCGGCCAATCGCAGCTCGGACGCGCAGACTCCCGACTGTTGCCGTGACGGAGCATCAACATCTTTCCGTGCCCTTTGCGCTATGATACACCGACGAATTACGTTTTTTTGCTTACGTCTTCGGGTTCACCAAAATGATCACAGCCTAACGGGTGCCTTCCATAGATGCTGTAACTCGCGTAGCCCTCGTAACCGATCAGGTTTTGCCAGCGTTATCGCGAGGGGGGGTGATGGGGTTCAATTTTCCGAACGATGATTTGTGTGGACGTCCTCGGCCCACCGCATTCGGGGTAACGTAGGATTCGTGGTCAAGCGACAGTTCGGTGGACGGAGGGACGACACCCAAAATGGGGATCGTTCGCGCAGACTGCGGGCGGCAACAGTTGCCGAGGTTGGTGTTACTGCAGTCACGAGATGGGAACAGAGCGGGCAGGAACTCACCATGGAACTAATCGATGATTTCCCGGACGTTTAGCGAGCGTATTTTAATTCACATGATCGAATCACTCGAGCCATCAGACAGGCACAGCCGCTTAGGCCTACGCAACCCCCTACAAACCTTTGACCGTGTGGAAACCCTCCATATCGTTTTAAAAACAAAGTGCTCGATCGAGTAAGGCACAACGACAAAAGCTGCTCATGGCAGAGAAAACACGGCTCTTCCTTAAAAACCTCAGCCGTACAAGCATTTTATTTTTATTAGAAAACAGTCAAAAGTCAAATCAACGCTGATTGTTTTAAACAAATAGATAGACAAGCAAAAACAGCTAAGTTTCTAAGTGGGTGGTAGCTTGAGCCATCTAGCGTCAACCAAAAACACTACTGTGTAAAACAAGCCATTGATTAAGCCAAGCCAAGTTTATACTTGCATAGCATGGTTTCGGTTTCTGTGGCTGCGTTGACTTGTGGACACTGTAATTGTGGTGAAAGCGGCAAATTGGGCAAATCGTAAGCACTGACACAACACCTCCTAGAAGAGAAGGCCGTAGTCTCCGAGTGGTTACGTCACAATGTTGGAGAAGGAAGGCATTGGCACAACTACGTGAGAAAATACCTAGTATCGACGTGAAAAAAAAGGTTTGTTGTCGAGATAGGATGGATGCTTGGGCGAGTTGATGAACCATATTCTACGATGACAGCGTAGCACGTGTGCTTGTCTTTTTGAGTATCTGGTGTGCGATTGTTTCTCTCGCTGTCACCGAAGAATATTGTTGTCGAGCGGCGCGGTGGTGTTCGTGCGCGTTTATTCGACATTAATATACGTTTTAAAAGCGGGGTCGTGTATAATTTATTATTTATATAACATACACGTAATATGCAACGCGATACCAACGTTGAAAGTACCAAATTTATATTTATGATTATCCCCGAAACCGCGAGACCAGTGCAGTTCCTCACTCTTCAAATGAACCGGCTCCAGTGCGACATTTTCTTCCCTCATACGGTTTCCGATTCTGGTAAACTTACGTTGTGTGTGAGCTGCTGACTGTCTGAAAAGGAACGCAGAGACATTTCAGAAGGGAAGGGAACCAAAAAAAAAAAAATACCATTCATCGCCACAGGGAGCGCACACGACCAAGGGGCGGGTCAACAACGTTACTCCTTTCGTCCCACACTGCTGCCGCTGCTCTCGTGCGTGATTCTTTTGATATTTCTTTCATTCTTCCCGTCGATTTTCTGTCGTCACCGCAATCTCGGATAGATTTGTGTGTGTGTGTTCGCTTGATGCTACGGCATTTACGCGAATTCGCGGAACAGGTCCTGCCACGGTTTGAGTGACATGTGTGGCAACCAACGATGACACTGGTCGATTATCGATAGATCCCTCTCTCTCTCGAGAGAGAGACTTCTTGGAGTTCGTGTTCAAATGTTTTCGTGACGGATATTGTGGGACGTATGGGTACTATCGACAGGTGAGAAAAAACTTATTTCTTTCTTGGTCATGTAGGACTCAAGTGAAGTACTGAAATCGTTATTTTTTTTTTTTTAATTTGTGATAGAATGGCGTCTTGTTCTCCGTTGTTATCCGTGTGCAGTTGCGTCGACAAGTGTAAATATGCGTGATATTATTCTCGTTTTCACTGGAAGGTGAATAACAAGTTGCGTGATTATTGAAAGTGTGTTGTTTGTGCTTATGTGTTTATTTATACTGATCTTATTTTATTGCATTTACCGCGTTTATACTAGAATCTTGATTGTATACAAAATAAGTTATATTTTGTTCTAAGGCAGCTCGAGCCCATAGGAAGAAGTTAATTATTTGACTGTAAATAGTAAGTTTAGTTCCGCTGCCACACGGAAAAGTGAATATATTTACATTTAATGATACGGGATTTAATCAGCTCGCCGTCCTGAGTGATTATATGAGCGTCGCAAGCTGATTTGTCGACTCCATAATGCCATTCGATCGAAATTACGTTAATTTTGCCACGTGGCCGGGGTATAATGCAAGAATTAAGTGATTGTACGCAATGACATCGCTTACCTGATCGTAAGTGACACTTGTCTCGCCTTGTCCGCGTTGACTAGGTCTACCTGATTTTTAACTTTGATGTGTTTTGCTGTGTTCAATCACTGCGTGTCTCGCCATTTTGTCGAAATATTTCTGTATAAAATATGCATTCCTACAGCAATAATTGCGTGACTCAATGTTTTCGACTTAAAACAATCCCATTTTTTAATACGTCGTACACGCATACCTCGTACCATTTCGTACCGATTATTTAGCGGTGTAATAAAATGTCTTCTAGTCCCGTTGCTATGTGCAGCTTTCATTGTAGGAGGTATAGGCGGGACGCTACACTCCCTACAACACTACTCGTAAGGTGACCTCTATAATCTTCAACCGTATTTTTGGAAAAAAAAAAAAAAAAAAAAAAAAAAAAAAAGGTCGAGATTGAACGAGGCCGACGAGGCGCGTGACGTGAAGATATCTTGTTTCCTCCTCTCTTCGTTTCGCCCCTTCAAGGCGGCGAGGCGGAGAAGACACGAGGCCGTTCCCTCTCCTTCTCGGAGAAACAAGACGTAAACATATCTGTCAAATGCGCTTCCTTTTTTTTTTCTTTTTTTTGTTGAAAAATACGGTTTTTTGTTTGATATATCGATATGAGTGATGTTTTGACGTTTGTTGCTACAAACGTCAAAACAAAGCGAATCGACGCTAAAACGTCGATTCGCTCAAATGTCGCTGTTCGCTAAAATGTCATTCGCTCATGTGATATGGACCCGGGACGCGCTCGCTGGGGTGAGTTACGTCGTTTCATTACAGTTCGCACCATTCACAAACAGTTGCACGTGAAAGGAGTATAGCAAAGTAAAACAGAATGTTACGAAAAAGCAGCGGATTAGGCGATCGGTGTGGTACGACCGAGCCGAGTGCGCAGTCGTCTGTTCTTAGTCTTTCCCTCCAGCGACAGATTGTATGCCACTTGTCCAAACAGACGTGGTAGGATATCTGTATGTGGGTCATAAACTTCGCAGTCACGACTCAGTGTTCGATGGTATCCTATTTTAGCAGTGATAGCGCCGTGTCTAAGTGACATCCGATGTCACTTCATGCCAGTGGCGTAGCCAGGGAGGGGGGTTCAGTACCTCGCACTTCAAATCCCCCCCGGCCCAAAAAAAAAACCTGGCTACGCCAATGCTTCACGCGCGCGATAAAGCGCCGTCCTAGGGTGTTCAACTCAAGACGCACTGTTCTTCTGACGCGTGTTCCATCAGTCGCTCGCTGCTGATTTGTTTCACCATAAAGCGCCAGTGAGGCAAACGTTGCGGGGACGAGTAGCATGTTTTCGTACCTGCCTACTAGTTTTCTTATGTCCGTTAATCTGCAAATGCTTGTGTTCCCCCAACCCTATCATTCCAACAGAATCCACCAACAGCCGGGCTACTGAAAGGGCCCTCTGCTCGGAGGACATGTTGCAGGCCCTCTGTAATGCTCTCGCCGCCTGTGCGACTTCCAGGGGGTCTGCGTTTCACGGCCTTGTTACCAGCTGGGAAGTTGTTCATGGAGGTAAGATTATGAAAGAAATCACTCTATGCACTCAGAGGTAGCTTTCAGAAGTTGTAGAAGCCAAATACAGATGCTGATATGTTTAGTAAAAAGAAAATCAAATTATTACTTTCTTTATGACTTATCCATCTCTATTTTGCAAGCCACATATGGCAGGAAAGTGTCACGTGATCTCAACCTGGTTGCTCAAGGCACTGGAAAGCTACTTGTTGCAGACCACTGTACCGTTGTCATTTATTATATGTTATTCCTTGGCACCGGGGGATTGGTGGCCAAGGGGGCTTGCACGCACTAGGGGGGCTAAGCTCGGCGCGGCGAGATCGAGGCGAGTTCTCCGCCAAACTCGCCGACCGCCGCGATTGGTCGGCGCCATGCATGACGACAAGCGCCGACACTCCCTAGATCGTGACGTTAAACGGAGGGTTTGAGGCAGTCGGAGAGTGGCATATTCGGAACTCGCGGCGAGATGCGGTGACGTCATTGTGACGTGGCAGAAGCCGCCGCGGATGGGAAAAGCTTGCCGGCTCCGACCTTGGCGAGTTTGGGCGAGTTGGGCGCGAGATCCGGGAGAAGCGTCCAAAATGGCAGCGTTTTCGTTCGTGTTTTGCCGTCGGCATAGGTATTTAAACCACGCCAATCTGTTTGACATGGACGACGTTCATTTTCAACAACACTATCACCTCTCGAAAGACGTGGTAAGGTGGCTGTGCGATGAACTGCGTGGTGAACCGGGCTTGAGGCGATGGAGCCGTGAATGAACCGTCGTCCCCGTCGTGAATCCTACATCCAAATTCTACAAAGTGAATCCTATAGAAACAAATGTCTTTTTACAGGTCTGCAACCAGGAACGCAATTTACCATTACCTACAGGCTTTTACAATTATTTTGATGGGTTGCTGTGCTGCGTAGATGCAAGATAAACGGACTTGATAAAATTCAAACTAAAACAGATGATAGAAGAAAAGAAATACACATGAATGGCGCAGACTAAGAACTGTGTAATCTCTTCCTCATCTTTCTTCTTCCACACCGTATTTTGACAAACAAATTGGCCGTTAGTAGTTTATACAGCAGGAAAACATGCGAGAACATTGCGACATTGTCACCTACTGTAGATAAGCAATTTAGCCAGTGCAGTATGACTGCTAGCCTAGGGTCTTTAACGTGCACCACGTAGTAGTGATACACGACCGCAGGCCGCTACGATGCTCATCAACATCGAACAGGGCAGGGGTGGGGGTGAATCCACGATACTGGGTTCTGCAGCGCGAGCTTTCGCTCCACGTGCACCCTATTCTGAAAAAAAAAAAAAAAAAAAAAAAAATATTGTGGCTGTGTGGCGGTGTGGGGGGAGAAAGATGAGAAAGAAATCACACAGTTGTTAGTCTGCGCCATCGCTGTATGTTGTTTTTCGTCTATACTCTGCTTTAGTTTATATCTTTATCAAGAGCGTTTTTCTTGCATCTACGTGGCGCGGCAAACCATCACAATGTCTAGTCAACTAGCCCACATCCAAGCAATGTTTGTATAATTAGCATCCCTGCTGTTACCTATTCTTATTTGTCATTTACGATTTAAATAAAAAAAAATTGGGCTGTATGTATGTTGATACTGCCTAAAACTTGGTCTGCCTCAACGGGGAAGATTCTCCCAGCTGTAGATGAGAAATTTAGCC